GACCTCTCCCTCAACAGGGAGACCACCACCTGGAGGTCCTGCCAACTCCACCATCTGTCCCTTCCCAGGTGGCCCCATGCAGAGGCATGGGCACTGGCTCCAGAGGGTCCTCTTGGGGTGGTTAGGGCCACAAGGTTTGACTGTGGAATGCCACCAGGGTGGATGAGGGACCAGAGACTCTGTATAGACCAGACACAAACACACTCTGTGTGAGCCTAGAGTGTCACTGGGCCACCATTTTGGAGGGCATTTAGGGTGGCATGCAAGCCTTGAACCTCCAAGACTCCATCAGCGGCAGCGTGGGGTGGGTGCCCCTCTCCCAACACATTCTCAGTCCATTTCTGATGCTGGGTGAGCCCATCATTCCTCCAGCTAACAGAGGGATGACCGCACCTCAGGCCCTGGGACAAACTGGAAAACCTAGTTCCTTTGTTGCAATTCAACACATTTATCTGACTCTTTTTTTTTTTTTAAAGAAAAGAATCACCTGATTGGTTTTCTTCCAAACTTAAAAAAAAGAAAAAGAAACTTTCCGACTCTGGGCTGTTGGGCAGCTCACAGCTTGTGCTTGGGACGAGGAGGAGGGTGGGTGAGGACGACAGGCTCATCCATGGCCCCAGTCCCTTTGTGTCCACTGTCTGCAACAATAGCTGACGCCTCGTCCTCAAAGCCCTGTCCGCCATCCATGCAGCGGTTCCCACCCCCCTCCGGTGTGCGTGGCCTGGGCTGTGGGGACAGAGCTTCCTTCCTCTGCCAGGAGCGCGGGCTCAGGCCCGGGTCTCAGCCCTGCACTGGACAGGCTTCAGGACCATGCCCCTGTCCCTCGACCCTCTGAGCCTCAGCTTTCCCCCCTGGAGAATGCAAACCATAATGGCTGGCTGGCGGGACTGTGATCAGGGAAAGGCAGTGTGCCCAGCGCTGGCCACAGGGCCCCGCCCCAGCACAGGCTCGCCCTGGAGCTGCTGGGGACACACAGGTGGACGGGGCACTCTGTGTTCTCGGGGGCTTGTTCTCTCCCAGGAGGCAGACAAGCAAGGGTAGTTAGAGGTGTGGGGCTAATGTGTGGAGTGATGTGGGCAGCAAGTCCTGCAGAAGGACAATGACCAGCGGGCTTTCCTGCATCCTGGCCCGTTGCTGATCTCCCCTGCACCTTTGGGTGGCCTCGCGCTGTGGTCACACTGCAAATGCTCAGCCCTGGAAAGAGTGATAACGAGGAGCAGCCAAGGGGTCAGTGGTCAGGGAGGGGAAGGGGCGGAGGAGCAGTGGGGCCAGCACAGTGGGCACGCTCAACACGGCCCTGAGAAGGAGCTGAGGCCGATTCCTTCACCATCCAGGAGCCTAGAGCGAGTGCGTGTGGACGCATGGCCTCCCCTGGCAAGGACCCAGCCCGGCCCTGGTGTGTCTCCAGGCCCCACAGCACATGCCCCAGGTGGGGCTCACCCTCTGCATCTCTCTTTGACCCCTCTCTGGCCACTGGTCTCCTCATACTTAAGACAGAGCCACCCCATGCTGGGGTCACTGAACAGTTGGGTCAGTGCCCTGAGCATGGAGTCCAGGACTTCAGCTTCCCCCACAAGGGCTCCTTGTACAGCATGATTGACATCTTTGCAGGGCAGGGAGGGGCCTGGGGCCGTGTTGTGTGAATCCTGCTGCTTAGTGACCAGCCTGGCCTCTTTGGCCATCCTCAATCCTCTCTCTTGTGAACAGGGAATGACTTGCGCTGTCTCCTGGGGAATGAGCATCAAGCTGGGCTCCATGGGGAAGGCCATCTCACCCTTCGACATCCAGGTCTGGTCCAGGTCTGGACCTCAGGACTTTGACTGGGCCCAGCTGGCCCCTGGACCCTCCTGTGACAGTAGGTGGCAGATCCAGCCATGCTTCCCTGCCTGGTGTCCCCTCCCTCTCTCTCCCTCTTTCTCTTGAATTTCCCAGGGAGGCTTCAGTTGAGAGCTGCACTAAGCTTAGAATGGATTTGCACCGTCTGCTTCCTAGGCGGCCTTGAAAGAGGCCCCTGTTTCTCTCATGGAGTCTGTTGACGGGCATGGGCTATCAGGTATGTGGGGGTATCTGAGAAACGGTCCATCCAGGGGAATTGTGGACACATCCCACACTAGGGATTTTCTTTCCTTGGCTGGGTCTTGAGGGGAACTTCCTCAGGGTCACTACACATGTCCCCAAACCCCATGTGGCCCATGGCAGCTCCAAATCAGGGCTAGAAACCCCATCTCTCTAATCTTTATGCATGTAAGCTGCAAACAGTCTGTCATTGCATTATGTAGAAAACCGATGTATTTAGTCCTAAAGAAATCATGAAAAACAGTAAAAAAAAAAAAAAAAACAGAAAAAGAATCCGAGTAATGATACAATGAAATACATTTTGCTTCGGTGCCGTTATCTGCATAAAAAGCCACAGAACTGGCTTGTCGTGGTTTAAAAGTAGAGCACCAGAACAGGAAGGTTGAAGTCAACTGCACAACAGTGACAGGTTATTAAGAGGGGAGAGGCCCAGCCTGTACAGGGACAGGGGACGTCCACAGGGGGATGCCAGGGTCACCAGGATTGAAACCCAATCTGGAAAAAAGAAAGGAAGGGACACTGAGCACAGTCCAGGACACTGAAAGGGAAGGTCATTCTTACAGCCCAGGAAGCTGCCCAAAGCCAAAGTCAACCTGCCATGTCCTCTTTGTCCCCTAGAGACACCTCCAAAGACCCTGGCAGGGTCAGGTGCCTTAGGCGGGGGACCAGCTGTGCTGCTGATCATCTCTGAGGCCTGGATGGGTTTCCTTCTGCACATGGGGCCAGGTGCACAGGCTCATGAGGACTGGGGGAAGTGACATATTGGGCCCGTGCACATGGGGCATTGTGAGGGGCCTCTTTCCTTCCAGAACTGGCACCTTGGAAGGTCCACAGCCATTAAAGGCAGTAACGTTTGTAACAACGGCTCTTGGTACTGCTTGTGTCAACACTTTACAGGCATTGTCCCAGGACCCTGAGGTGCCCTCTCCAGGTCCCTTGCACAGATGGGGACACAGATCCAGAGTGGTCAGGGAGGGCCAGTGTCCAGGCAGAGCAAAGTGTCAGAGGGACCTGGGTTTGGAAAGGGGCATGAGGAGTCGGGGAGACCCCTGAGGGGGAGGGCCCAGAGAGACAAGTGGCGCAGAGCCCAGCTCTGTGTGGGTGAGCCCTGCTCAGAGGAGAAGCTAGACCTGGGGGCCACGCTCCCGTCCAGCTCCTCCACCTGCTGCCCGAGCCGTTGGTCACTGTGGTGCCGGAATCATCTCATATTCCCCAGGGCATTGTTGATGTGGAGCAGGGGGTGCGGCCCACTGTGGCACAGGCAGGGTCCTGGGGGGACTCCTTCCTCCCTCTCTTGGCTGCTAGCCCTGCTAAGCCCCAGCCAACACCTCCCTCTCTAATCATATCCTGATCTTGTGCTTTGCGTTTGTCCCCAGGGTCACCCTAGCCTGGCAATTCTCAGGGCCTGGGCATGACCCCCCGGAATGCCCTTCAAGTGACAGATGCCCAGCACTCAGTTTGGATCCAAGAAAACGCCACATTCTGTGATGTTCAGGGGGCAGATGATGTACTGCCAGGCCTTGGCTTGCCCTGTGTGTTGGGGTGTGGTGGTGTGTGTTTGGTTGTGCAAATCTGCCTGGGAACACGTGGTCTGGACTTCAGTGTCTGTGAGGTTAGAGTTGGGGGTGTGGGTTTTCTTTGGTGTGGCTGGTCCTGTGATGTTCTGTGATGTGCATCTGTGTTGGCCGTGCCTGTGTGTTCCCCCGTGAGTGGGTGTCACTGTGGACTTCACAACAAGGCAGACGTGCGTGGGATCTTTCCAGTGGTGACTAGCTGGGGTGAGTGAGAGGGGGACAGCAAGTTCTTCTCCACCCACAGGCTGGGACACTTCTGCCCCTGCTCCTCTCTGCCTCTGGTCTCCCCCTGGTGGTTGTACAACAGACCCCAAGTGCAGCTGCCTGCACTGCCAAACCTAAAGACAGGCGAGGTGGCATTAAGACACCCAAACATTTACAAAGAGAAAGCTGGGACCAGGTAGGCATCAACCTCTGATGGGAGAACAATGACCCAGAGTAGCACAGTATGTTTATTATATAGGTTTTATCATCAAAAGGTTACTTGTGGTGGGATGTGGTGGCACACGCCTGTCATCCCAGTGGCTCAGGAGGCGGAGGCAGTAGGATCGCAAGTTCAAAGCCAGCCTCAGCAACAGAGGCACTAAGCAACTCAGTGAGACCCTGTCTCTAAATAAAATACAAAATAGGGCTGGAGATGTGGCTCAGTGGCTGAGTGCCCCTGAGTTCAATCCCTGGTACCAAAAAAAAAAAAGGCGGGGGGGGGGGGGAGTTACTTATGGGGAAGTTTCTGCAAAGTGGTCAAGTTTGAAGCCCATGGCACTTGCAAGATACTGTGGGTTTCTTGTCATGCTCAGAATTCTCTATTCCCAGCAGTTAGTATCTGAACTCAAGGTCAAGACTGTTATTGTTCCAAACTTTGCACAGAACTGTTTCAGGCAAGGGCTTTACCATAGCTCCTGGGCAATCTTTTGTTGTTGTTTTTCTTAGTCATTGATGGACCTTTATTTTATTTATTTGTATGTCATGCTGAGAATCGAACCCAGTGCCTCCCACGTGCTAGGCAAACACTGTACCACTGAGTCACAACCCCAGCCCCTCCTGGGCAATCTTGTCCTGCACCTTTGCACGGAAATTTCCCAGGGCAAAGCATAGCCACGGCTCCCAGGCAGTCAAAGACCATGATCCAAGTCACCGCTCTCCACACCCAAGGACATGGCCCAGGCACAGGAGTCTAAACCAGGGGGTGGAGAGGGATCTGGGACCCTGGAGGGGGTTACAGTGAGAAGGAGAAGAGGTGCTGTCTGGAGAGGACTCTTGGATAAGGAGGGAGTCCTGATCCCTGGCAGAGTGAGTGGGAGTCCCTAGCAAGCTCCTGAGTCCCTGGGAAGGAAGGGCTTTGTTGGTTGTCTATCGAGGAAACTCTGGGCTGTGGGCTCCTGTGTCTCGCAGGGGCAGGTGCGTGGTCCAGCAGGCAGAGTCTCCTTCCTGGCCCTGGGTCCTGGCTACGGAATGGAGCTGGGAGTCTCCCCAGATGCTGGTGCCAAGAGGGAGCATCGGGCCATGGGACGTGCTGGACTGGGGGTGGGGGTGATGGTGGAGGGAAGGCGTTGCGCTCAGATGGAGTCACTAAGCAAACGGAGAGCACTGAGGTGCTGTTGCAGCTGCTGTTAGTGTTTTATTACCTGCAACCCCAATCCTTGAGCTCACCTGGGCCCTCCAGGAGAACAGAGGACTTCCAAGGAGGGCAGTTACCAAACTCAGGGATTTAAAAAAAAATACTGGGGCCTCAGTCCTCCTGATACCCCTCCAAACCCCACCCTATTGAGGAAATTGAGGCACCCCAGAGATTTGCCTAAGTCGCAGGGTAGGTTCTGTTTTTTTTCCTGATGACATCCCACCAAACTCCTTTTTCCGGAGATCACTCCGTTTAATCTTGCCGGTGATGGTTTTAGGCAGTTCTAGGACAAACTCCACCTAGTTGAGAAGAAAGCAAATCTCTTCTGAGTCTGCTATAGTTTCCCACCCATTCCCCATGACCTTCCTTTGCCCTTCACAGTCCCCATAAAGGATGAAACCTCCTGGCAACCTAAATGGGGTCCACTGAGCTTGGCAGATTCCTCTCCCAACTCCCTGTGACTGGCTTTGCCCATGAAATGGGGTGGAAGGAAGTAGGTTTCATTGAGGCCGAGAGTCTGGAACCAACAGCCTCCCTATCCTCCACCTCGTACAGCACCTAGCAGGTAACTATGTGGTGGCTGCTGCTCCTTTAACTCAGCCCCAGGATGAGCGGATGTGGGGCAGAGATCCTAGAAGAGCTATGGGGGACGTATTATGCACGATCAAGAAAGAAACTTTCATTGTTACAGCCCTTCATGGTTTGGGGTGCTGTATTACCTGTGGGGACATCTCACCTCCTACCTGGGAAGAGCACCTGTTCTGCTGTCGGTGAGACGGCAGAATATTATGCTTGACAGTGATGGTTTGACTCATGACAGAAACACGAGATTTGCTGTTAGACACATGTGCATTTGGCTTCTAGCTCTGCCTCCCAGTGACAGTGATCCCAGTTAATCTCTTTTGCAGAGAGTAAAGCTCCCCACTTCAGGGCCACCCTCGAGATATGTAGCAAAACTCTGGGGATTGTGCGGGGGGACAGGGCCCATCCCTCTGCCGTAGCTTACCTTTCTCGGGTACTTGTATGGGGCCGTCACCGACTTCACATGCTGCTGCAGATCCTTGGTGAGCTGGTCCTTGTCATGGGACAGGAACTCCGGGTATAGGACAATAAATGCCTTCACCACCTGCAGAACGGGAGTGGGGTCTCAGATGAGGGCCCCTCAGAGGAAGGGCCTATTATGTACAGAGTTTAAAACGTGTTTACTGAATGAATGGAAAGGCAAGTTGATGGCTGAGCCCAGGGGGGTTAAGAGCTCCAGGGATTTGGAAAAGGAGGGGGAGCAGGTCCATCTCCCTGACCTTCCTATTTCTATTTCATACCTAAACTCATTTTGCTTCTCTGGAAAATGGGGACAATAAACGTGTCATTCCTCATAGGCTTTCTGTAAAGACCCATGAGGTAACACATAGAAATCGTCTGTTTCCATTTGTTATCACTCCCACTAATCATCTTCATCATGGAGATCTGTGCTGGAACCCAGCAGGGTTTAATAATTGTTAACAATTCATTTTTACATTAGCAATTTTGTCCCAGTTCATTGCAAAAGATTTTGTACACAGAAGATACTCAATTAACACTTGTTGACCCAATAAACACATGCTTTAGAGGTAGGTTGCTTGGAGTTCTCTTTTGGAACTATTCCTCCTCCCCTCCCCCTCCCCCTCCCTCTCCCCCTCCTTCTCCTCCTCCTTCTCCTCCCCTCCCTCCCTCTCTCCCTCTCTTTTAGGTACTGGGGATTAAACCAAGGTACCCTCTACTACTGAGCCCGGCCCTTTTCAGCTGTCTATTTTGGGTACGGTATCCATAAGTTGCCCAGGTTGGCCTTGAGCTTGCGATCCTTCTCCCTCAGTCTCCCCAGTAGCTTGGAGGATGGGCATGGACCCCCACGCCTGGCTGGCCCCTCCTCATATTAGCTGTGTGATTGCCAGGCAAGTTACTTAAGCCCTTCTTTTCCCTTGTCTATACAGAGAATACAAAATAAGCATCCTTAGACTGTTGGCTTTGTGAGCGTTTAGTGATTCGGCACATAGTAGACGCTCATTAAGCTTTAGCAGCTGTTTCCGAGCCTCAGCTGAGGCCACAGCGCCACCTGGTGACCCCATAGAAGTTGTGCACATGCGCATCTATTACGCCTTCTCCCGGTCCTAGGTTTCCTGCAGCTGCTCCGCCAGGGCGCACTCGGACACACGGATCTGGGGACCTCCTCACCTCCCCGCGCTTCGGGTCCGGGCTGCTCACCACCGCCGACTCCGCCACCGCAGGGTGCTCCGCCAAGGCGTTCTCCACCTCTACCGGCCCGATGCGGTACCTGCGGCATCAATTGTTGGGGGCAGAGGTTGGGGCTGGGGGGAACTAAGTCTAACTCTTGTACCTTGGAGGGTCGCATCTACCCTGGACCCCAAGGGTAGCGGTCCTGGGGAGTCTGAGACTTGGGAACTGCCCGTGTTTGGTCCCTAAGTGCAAAGACTTGGGCATTCAGTGCTGGAGGTAACCCTCGCAGCCCAGCCCAGCAGTGACCAGGGACTTCTGGCCCCAGGGCCTCTGGTGGGCGGGAGGGAGCAGCTTTCTCTTACAGAGCCTGGGAGTTTGGGGGCAAGTCGTTTCCCCAGCACAAGACTTCCCCGGAGCCTCGATTCTGTCTGCAACTTGCAAGCAAATTCCACATCCTCTCGTCACTCTACCAACATGCTTTATTTTATTGAAATGGATTATATATATATAAAATTTTTATTAAAAATATATTAGTATGTTGGCTTTTATATATATATATATATGTGTGTGTGTACACATATATGCACATATATGTGTGAGTAATATATACTAAAGCATGTTTTATAAACACAATGCTTTACATACACATAGTGAAATTACCACAGTCAGGCAGATTAACATGTCCATCACCTCCTGTACCATTGCTGGTGGGTTATATACAGTACTCATGCATGGCGAGAAACTTAGAATATACTCTCTTAGCAAATTTTCAGCACACACCCATATCAACATGTTTTAGAAATTTATAAGTAGGAGGTTTTATTGCTATTTCACAGCAGGGTGACTATCATTAACAATCATGTATAACATATTTCAAGATAGAAGGGAGGTTTGAATGCGCTCAGCACAAAGAAAGGATGGATGCATGAGGTGATGGGTATGCTAATGATCTGATTTCGTTACTCTTATTGTAGACGTGTATCGGATTATCATGATGTACGATTATTATGTGTCCGTTAAAAATATTGCAGTTTCTGAAATATTCACGGGAAGTTGTGTCATATGTCTTGGTTTCAAAATCAGGTTGGAGTTAGGGCTCAGCCTCAGGCTGCCTGGGTTCTGATCGGGATGCCATCATTTATGACATTTGAGACTGTGGGTCAGTTTCTTCACTGTTCAGTGACCCAGTTTCACTGTCAGTGGCATAAGAATGGTAATCTCATCTCCCGTTTGCATTGAGATGGGTTACAGAGAGCAATGGAGAGTTTCCATATGGTAAGTGCTTTGCAAGGGTAGGCTCTTATTATCATTATTACCACGTTTCTCCTTGGATAAGCTGTGCTGTGTAAGTGGAACCCAGACATAAAATAAGCGCCCTTAGGTTGGGGGACCAAAACTGTCTCCCCTCCCAATCCCACCACCATCTTTAAATTGTGTGATATCTTAATCCCCATCCAGAACTTTGAACTTTGTTTTGATTGGCTTTTCTGGACATAGGAGGTGCACAGGACCCATAGATGCTAGAAATGGTTCTGCTCAGAATTAAACCTCAGGTCCCATCACCCAGGCATGGAGGAAGCTCAGACAGGCAGTCGATCCTGGGAGACGTGTGAGGGTGACGGGATCCAGCACAGGGTCAACCACACCTACCCAGAGGCGTTGATGATGTCATCGTCCCTGCCCAGGAACCACAAGTAACCTTCTGCATCCATAGTTGCTCTGTCCCCGGTGTTGTAAAAGTCCCCACACTCCACCTTCGCTGTCTCCTTTGGGTTGTTCTGCAAAGAGAACAGACCCCGTTTGTGAAGGCAGTGTGGTGAGAGAGAATGAGCTGCAGCCTCAGGCTTGGATCTGGGGTTGGATTCTGGTTCTCCCTGGTACCTGGGCAAATTTTATAATGCCTTTGAGTCTGTTTACACCACATGCAAGAACTCGGTGCTGCTGCTTCTCCATGAGTGGATATTATGAGGCATTTTTAAAGACAGTCTTTAGAGATAACAGCTCACTTTTGTGTGGCATGCCACCAGAATAAAATTTCCCTTATTGTGGGAAAGCTTTCTACTTTATTCCCTGCTAGGAGCTCAGCATTTACAAGGTGCCTGGACAGAGGAGAGGGGCTGATGTGCATTCACTGCATCAATTTTCTTCCTCAATACTTTTCCATTTGATCCTTATAGACAGTCTAGAAGGGTGATAGTTTCAAGTTAACTTTTTCTTGGAAGATAATTGTAGATCTGCACACAGTTTTAAGAAACATGATAAGGAGATCCCATGTACCGCTTATTCAGTCTCCCCCAATGGTAACATCTTGCAAAACTATTTTTCAGTATTCCATTAAGGATACTGACATTGATAGAATTTGCTGATCTTATTCTGATATTTTCTAGTTCACTTTTACTTTGTATATGTCTGTGAGTATATTTATTCATATGCAAATTGACCACCTGTTTGTGTACCCTCCACAAGAGTCAGGGCACAAAACAGCCCCCACTAGCAGAATTGCTTAGGGTTTTTTTTTTTTTTTTAATATACCAGGAATTGAACTCAGGGGCACTCGAATACTAAGCCACATCCCCAGCCCTATTTTGTATTTTATTTAAAGACAGGGTCTCACTGAGTTGCTTAGTGTCTCACTTTTGCTGAGGCTGGCTTTGAACTCACGATGCTCCTGCCTCAGCCTCCTGAGCCACTGGGATTACAGGCATGAGCCACTGTACCCTGCACTCAGGTTGCTTTTGACAGCCATGTCCAACTCCCTTCCAGTCCCTCTCCCTCCTCTCTTCCCATCCCTAACCCCCTTGGCAACACTATCCTGTTCCCTATTGTTATAATTGACACATGATAACTCTGCATATTATTGGGAAGATTCAGTACATGAACACAATATGTAATGACCAAATCAGAAGAATAAGCATCTCTACCTCCTTAAACATTTACAGTTTTTTTTGTGTGTTGAGAAATTTTGAACTCCTAATTCTTCTTTATAAAATACATACTAAATTGTTGTAACTATAGTCCCCTATTGTATTGTAGGACAACTAGACTCATTCATCCTGTCTCATTGTTTTGGTATTTGTTATCCAAACTCCCTCTCTTCTCCATCCCCTATCCCCTTTTGAGCCTCTACTGACATTATTCTACTCTCTATTTCTATAAGATCAAGGTTTTAAGCTTCTTCAGGAGAGTTAGAACACAAGGTATTTGTCTTTCTTGTCCTTGGATTAATTTACTTGACAGAATGTCCCCCAGTTCTATAAGTGGACTCACAGTATGTAGCCATTTAAGACTGCTTCTTTCCCTTAGTATAATTCTCTGGAGATTCATCCACATTGCTGTGTTCATTGATAGTTTGATTTTTTTTTTATTTTGCTGAATAGATTTCCTTGCTATAAATGTACCTCAGTTTTTGTTTAGCTATTCCTATTCACCCATTGAAGGATGTCTGGGTTTTTTTCCACTTGGGAGCTATAATGAGTAAAACTGCTACAAACATTTTTGTATGTGATTTTGTGTGAGGCTGGATTTTTTTTTTTGTAGCTTATTTTATAGAAGAAGAAACTGATGCTCAGAATAGCACAGTTACTTGCTCAAAATCAACCAACAAATCAAAGAAAGGGATGATATTTGAATTTAGTTCTTGTTTCATAGCCTAGTCCTTGATCCATAAGCAGCCCTTCTTGTGGGACACCAGATGATTTTAAGAGACACCTGCAAACCCAGGAGAGCACCCCCCCTTTTTGAATTCACTTCTGATTGTTCTGCTTTTATCAAGGAGATTCTTGGTTTGCAGTTCACATGTTTTTAGAATTTCTGCAAATACCAAGAGGAAGGTAAGTTTGAGATCAGAGCTTTAGGCAGAAACAGGATTTATGTAAAATTTAAGACAGTTTCTTTAAAAATATTTAATTATAGTTACAACAGCCTTTGGATTTTCAAGTGATACTGTTTTCCACTTATGATACTAGATCAATTGTTTAAAAAAACTTTAAAGTGAAACAATGAGTTTGTTTGAGAACATATGAAGTAGATAAAAACATAGTTAACAAAGAATAGAATGGACAGAGGTCAGATGTGGACAGAAATGAATGAAACTTAGGAAACAATGCATTGTGGGTAATATTTCCCCCCATTCATGCACCACTGGGATATGAAATTGTCTTTTGATACTTTGGTTGATCCACCCTGAAAGACAGGTCCTCCCTGACCGGCATGAGTTTTTCTGGTATCCTCTTCTTAGATAGTGCCCGAGCCTAGCCCCTAGAAGACAGCCTTACACATCCATAGAAGCAATTCTTTCCTCCCTCTGAACCTGATTTCTTGAAGGTGAACCTCACTAATCCTTCCTTGGAGAAAAGAAAAGCTCCTGAGGGTCAGGGAGAAAATATCTCACCTACACATGGAGAGGGGCAGAGTCCACATTTACCTCCTTCAGGTAAACCTCGGCTACTTTTTAAAGGTGGTAGAGGGGATTGATGTTAGGGAAATGGCGGAATAGAAGCTCTGATCTCTCGTTCCTCACAGAAACATCAAATATCAAATCAACCACACAAGTGAAACCTGGAAGCTGTCTGAACTGACTTTGTAGTTGCTCTAGAAGGTAGCCAAAGATTTATACCAACTGAGAGATTTCTGGTCAAGGAAAAGCCATCTTCAAAATGGTAGAAAAGTTTGTGGCATTTGGACTCACAATGGCCCCACCTTTACTCTAGCACGAGAGTCATGGTCTGGCCGTGCCTGCTCCCCATTTCCTCCTCTCTCCTCCCACGACTGTAGGGAGCAGAACAGATCTTATGTGGAAATTGCTATGTCCTAATTTGTCTGGTTGATACTTGGAGGGCTGACGCGAGGCGATGACTTAGTTTAAGCAGAATTCAGGTGCAAAAAGCAGTAGGAAGAAAGAGAATATGATTTTCAGGGTTATATAGAGTTACCACATCAAGACAAGCACAGACCCAGTTTTTAACACCACCACCAGCAACAACAAAGTCACAGGCACACAAAGAAGCAGGGAAACATGGCTCATCCCCAAAATAAAATTAATGGACAGAAACCGCCTCTGACATCCCCAACATTGTCTTTACTTGACAGATAACTTGAGTATTTTAAATATGCTTAATGAGCCAAGGGGTAAAACAGACCAGAATTAAAGGAAGTCAGCAAATTGACACAGGCACGAAACAAAAATATCTAAAGAGAAAGAAATGATAAGATTTCTCTTTCCAAAAGAGAAATTCTGGAGCTCAAAAGTATAATAACTGAAGTAAAGAATGCACTAGAAGGTGTGAAGCACGTATTAGAGAAGGCAAAAGAAAGAATCAGGGGATTGGAAATAGAGTAACTAGAAAGAAATCAAGTTTGAGCACCAAAAAGAATGAAAAAAAAAAACTGAACAGGGCTGAAGGGACTCATGAGGTATCACACGTCTGGTGGTTCTGAAGCAAGTCTTCTTTCTACCCCAGCCATTACCCATTAAGCCTCAGAGGGGTTAGGGTAGGGCAATGGGGCAATGCCCTGTAAGCCTTGGTGGTAATTTAAAGGGGCTTCATCAAGTAAGAGCAAATAGAGGATGACCTGAAGAAGCTCAGGATGCAGGGTTCTGGGCAGGGGTACCCGGTGTTCCATTACCTCGTAGTACATGAAGAGGCCTGGTGGCCTGGTGGGCTTAATCCTGATGCCGATGTTTCCTTCAGCATTGGGGGGCAGGATGTTGCCCTTGTCATCGATGATCTGGAGTAAGAAGCCTGTCAGTCCTGCCGTGCAGGACTCGCCCAGCCCATCTGCCCCCGCCTGAGCATGGCCTGGCTTCTACACGGGACACCAGGAAGAAATTGGGGAGAGTGACGGGAGAACCATGTCTGAAAATAGAATATGACTTTCAATTAAGTAATTGTGAATTAAGTAATTGTGGAATCTGAGTCAAGGGTCAGCGTGTTTCATGAGTATGTAGCCATCACCCACATTGCCTTTGGCACCACTTGGTGGGGAAAGCCTCCAACGCTCGGGGGAGGTGTCCTCCCTTCACTGTGTGTGAGGATCTGGCTGCCAGGGAGCCTCCATAAGAAATGGAGGGGAAACAGAGAGAGAGGGAGAGAGAGGGAAGGGACACCGGGCAGGGAAGCATGGCTGGATCTGTCACCTCCTGTCACAGGAGGGCCCAGTGCCAGCTGGGCCCTCACTGTGCCTTCCTGCCAAAGTCTTGAGGACCAGACCTGGATGTCGAAGGGTGAGATGGCCTTCCCCATGGAGCCCAGCTTGATATTCATTCCCCGGAAGACACCGCAAGTCATTCCCTGTTCACAAGAGAGAGGATTGAGGATGGCCAAAGAGGCCAGGCTGGTCACTATGCAGCAGAATTCACACAACATGGCCCCAGCCCCCTCCCTGCCCTGCACAGATGTCAATCATGC